AGCAATTTGGTCTATGTTTGTAAATAACGAATTTATGGTTACTATACATGTATATATATATATATATATATATATTTATTTATTTATTGTTGGGCGCCAGACGCGGAACAAATATACTCACAACACTAATGAACGGAATTACACAAAGAGACACCAAGATATTTACGTGGTTCAGAGAGAAGAAGTTCCCCTACATCCACGAGTAGCAACCAATCATTAAAAAACCAAGTGTTACAAGTAAATAACTCACTATCACAGTACAAAAACTCTTACCAATATGTCACTCAACAAATACAATGTGACACCCAAAAACTGTCTCAAATCCCGATACCACTTGTTAGGAGTGGATGTTCCGAATGGAGGGAGAACTCTCTCATTATATAGCATTACAGAATCAAATCTCAGATATGACTGAGACTAAATCTAATTCAAATAACCAAATCAAAACTACCCGCGCGTCTATCAGGGAGAACTAGGCTTGGCTTGGTTAGTAGTGTTTGCCCCCTTGTCCTGTAAGCAAGCTACCAGCGCGTATTAAAGAGAACTAGGCTTGACTTGGTTAGTAGTGTCTGCACCCTTGTTCTGGAAGAAAGCTACCAGTGCCTATTAGCGAGAACTAGGCTTGGCAGGTAGGCCAAGCGAACGAGAACCAAGAAGTGCCTTGACCCGTCCCGCTGCTCTAGAAGATATCAACAAGATATTTAGGAGTATCCGTGCTGAAGGTACTGTTTTTTATGGCCAACTTAAAAGATCGACAGGAATCAAGAAGCTCAATCAAGGCAAAAGCTAGGTATGTGGACACTGTGACACTTTCACATGGCTGACTCCTCTTCCTCTTCTAATCAGAAGCATCCATCGGCACCATGCTAAGGTTCTCCTGATCCTCCTCCCTTTATATATAACAGCACGTACATAGCTCATCTACGTACTTATCAATCTATCACCCAAAGGGTTTAGTAATAAAGTAATATAAAATTCCGTCGAAGATCCATTGCTCTATCTTGCGTGCTCGTCTCCTAAAATGTAGAGAAAGTCGAATGATAGATCTTCTAGAGAAGACCAAAACGAATGAGCTCACTCGGTTTGCATAGTTAGATAAAGTTTCAGTGGATTCACGACATTCTAGTACCAATGGATGCCCCGAGACAATTAGTGTAACTTAGTCGATGAAGTACTTCTCTATTATATTTTCGCTCGTGTTATTGTAATAATTATAATTTTATTAGACTTCATTTATTTTATTTTTATTTAATTTAATTAAAAAAGAAAAAAAATGTATATATGAATAACAATTGATGGGCTTTTAAGGTGATTGGCCCATAATTAATTTGATTTAATGGGCTTTTGGGCTTAAAAAATTCTAAACAATTGGGCCCATTAGGAGGTTTCTTTTAGTAATTTTCAACTAGTTTCCAAATATTTTAAAAGTTATAATTTTATCCCGATCCCGATCCCGATACCGATACCGACCTATAAGTTATTGTTTAAATCAATGTGACATCGAGTTGAGCTATGCTGATATGGTATGATATGATAGCACGGTGAGTCTCGATATTTTGTTAGAGATACATACCTGACTTCTATCATCAGCTTGATTTGGTAAGCTTATTCCTCTTTAAATTCTCGAATCGGTATCTCCAAAACTGGGTGAGTCTCTTCACAGGCGTTCTTCAATACGAGGTCCATGTGGCCCTATATTGACCATTATCACGTGGACTTTAACCCTAACCCTAACCCTAACCACCTATCTCAATGCTATTATTTTTTTGCAACAATCAATTGGTTGGTATAATGTCCTATGTTCTTATTAAATTTGGACATGTGGCGTTCCGCCTGCCACATCACTTGATCGAGAGCAGACTCGAGCCAGATTTTGTTCGAGACCAAATTCAGTTTCACGTGTCAGACATACTGGTATGTCTAAAAACGTTAATTAAACAGTAGTTTAATGAATAAATCATCCATGGATCAAATTTAATTCGGTGCAAATTTTAAAATTACACCAAGTAAAGTAATTACAAGGGAGTAAAATTAAAAATTTACGGTAAATATTGAAAGTTGGTCTCCAACATAATAAACCTTGATTTTGGTGAGCTAATGGATAATGCGGGTTTGACTTTTAAACCTAAATATATTCAAGTGATTTGGTAAGAAAATATTTTAAAGTAAAAATTAATCTCTCTTGTTTTGTCGTCATTCCAAATAAGTCAAATTTAAGGAAAATGTTTGACTTTTCAATTTTCTTTATTTATCAATTAATTTTAAAAGTTGACTTATAAGGTAGGTAAATTTGTTATAAACATATACATTTTTACCCCTAATAAAATATATAATTTTGTCCAATTTTTTGTTTTTACCATTTTACCTTTTTTTTAGTCAACGACATTTAAACCTTAATTTCTTGATTGCTATTTTTTTTTAATTTTAATTACATAATATATTTTTATTTATTTTTAAACTATTTTTACTATTGTAAATTTTTTTAAATTAATTAACAAAATGAATTATGTTACATCAAAATATTTTATTCTTTGTTAATAATAAGAATTTAAAATTTAAAATTTAAAATTTAAAATTAATCCGTAAAGTATTGGAATAAACGTCAAATTACAATTTTATTTTTTTAACTTTCAATTTTATGTCCGGTAAATGTACTGATAACATTAAAGTGCATATTCAAAAGTGCTTCGTCCGAAATGATAAAGCTCTTTGCTACATGCAACGACACTCAATTAGTCATGTTGGCATGTCACTCGGCTCCTCGACGTACTTCAGCTCCAAAAATTGATCATGTATCAACAACTCAAAACGAGGATTTTTTTGCTCGTTATAGGGATATGACCGAGCATCTCACGACACAAGATGACAACGACCATGCAGTACTTGTACGAAAGTCAATATCCTCCTGTTAAAGACGAGTTTTGTTATCCATAATGTTTTGTGCATTGTATCGAGTTAAACCACATGTATTCCATGCAAGCCTTATCAATTCCTTTGAGTTACCATAGCATAACGTCGATAGATATTAACTGCTTTGCCCCGTTACGTATCGTCATTAGCCTCACGGCTCTAAAACATGTATTCTACGGAGAGGTTTTCACACTCTTATGAGAAATGTTTTGTTCCTCTCTCCAACCGATGCGGGATCTCACAGTACAGGCCATAGTCGTTGTCATTGCTAGCAACAACGTAAACATACGAGGATGTTGATTTTGATATCAATTTTAAACCGTCATTTTACGTATAAGGAATGTTTTGTTCCCCTCTTCAATCGATATGGGTTCTCACAGTATGCTAACAACGTCGCATATGTTTCCCTCTTCAACCGATATGGGTTCTCACAGTATGCTAACAACGTCGTAAATATACGAGAATATTAAATTTGATGTAAATTTTAAACCGTCATTTTAAGTATAAATAAATAGTATAAAAAAGTGAGAGAGAATAGTTTAAGGTAATAAAAGGGAGACATGCGAGGAGTGTCAATGAAGCAATGAAATGCACAAAGTCCCAAGTGCGTGGAAATGGGGAACAAAAAACAAACATTTTATTGATTATTTATTTATTTATTTACTAAATTAAGAATCTTGAATATACCCTTTATTATTAATTATTATTATTATTATTATTTTGTAATTAATCATATTATATTTTTATATTTGTTTAATTCTTTTTAACTAATATTGGATAATAGTGTTCAAATCGCTCGATGAATTTTAAAAATACCAAAATTACCCTTAATACAACTCGAGAAGAATATAGTGTAACAGATGAAACATACAAGACTCGGGATGTAACAGTCCAATCCCATTTCTAATAAATATTGCCCGTTTTAGCTCGTTACGTATTGTTATCAACTTCACAATTTTAAAATACATCTGCTAGAGATAGATTTTCACACCCTTATAAAGGTTTCTCACGTCTAGAACAAATTCACCGCTATATCAAATAATCCTTTCCCGCTCAAATTTCCATCAAGGAATTAGTTGTCTATTTTATTATATAAAAATTAATATTATTATTTTACCAAATTTAATAAAACTTAAAAAATAATATTTTAATTTGTAAAAAGAAAAAAAAGAAAAGGTTATTGGGTGCGTGCGTGCGTACGATAACAATTTAATAACAACTGAGGTGTCAAAAGATCGGCCGTGTGATGATTACATCGGAAAATGAAGGACGTGGGTCCCACAAAGAGCAGCAAATTTTCTATTATATCCTATTAGTGCAGCTCACGGTTGGAAGCGTAGGGCTGCATTTACTCTTCTCACCCACATTTATTTAATTAAATATAATGTACAATGGCAGATGTGAAATTAAATTAACTATAATAAATGCTTTTCCTCCAAATACGCCAAAAAAAAAAAAAAAAAATAAAACGGGGCGTTTTATTGGATCATATATTTATTGAATTTTAGAAACCTACGTGTAATTAATTAAAATTAGAGTAAATTTAATAATATAACTTACGAAGAATTAATTTTAAAAAATATTTTTTTAATTTTTTTATTGGTAAAATTACTTTTTATTTTTATGAGCATTTATACATTTTTAAATATTAAATTCTAACATAAAATATGTACTTTCGAGAAAAAAAAATCAGGTTCGGATTCTCGAGTTATAGGTCAATTTTTTATATTTTTTATCAATACGAGCATGAATAAGCTATTAAAAGTTTAAATTTCCCGATACAAATATTGTTGGACTCATAATATATTGTCGCGTATTAGATTTGAATATATAAAATAGAAATAGAAAATCGCTCGTAAATTAATAAAATGGTATTATGAAGAAAATATTCCAAACTTTATATGGAGTTTGGTGCAACTAAACTATATTATTATAACATTATTATAATAAAATATTTATTATATTTTTTAAAATTGAACTAAATTACTTTATGAAATAATTTAGAAATAATCACTCCAATTAAATTAAAAGTGGATTAAAGGGTAATTTTCTGAATTTTCTGAATTATTTTTTTAAGATAAGGAAATTATTTCCCTCCGACACACACTCTTCTCAGCTTCGGAGTCAGTGTTATAATGTTTTTTTTTTTTTTTGAAAAAAAAAAGAAAAGAGAAAATGACGTGGCGCTTGTTTTTCTCAACTTAATTATCACGTGCAGCTCACGTGCTGCTATCCAACTGAAATTCTCTCTCTTCGTTCCCTCGGGCCTCAGCTTAATGAAACCGAGAGACCTGCCCAAAAAGAACTGACCGCTGCATTTACCTTGTTTTTCCCTCTCCTCCATTTCTCTCTCTCCCTCTCTCTCTCTCTAAAACCAGAAGAGTTACTGTTATGGCTTCTCCGCCGCCGCCGCCGTTGCCGGACGCTTTCGGAGGCTCCGTCATTGAGTACTTTTCTTCCTCTCCTCCTCTTCCTTCGGCGATAGCAGCGACGGCAGCGACTCATTCTTCTTCGCTGAAGAATCTCAGTCCTAGCATTTTAATCATTCTTTCGATCCTTGCTTTTACTGCTTTTGCTTCTGTGATTCTCTGCCTCGTTCTGCGATACCTTAACCGGCGGTGTCTTCTCCGTCTATCCGCCGTGCCTGTATCGTCCTCGTCTTCGTCGGTTTCGAGCCGTCGGATTAATCCAGCAGAGCAGAGTACGACTCGGTGTACCAATTCGTTTTCGCCGATCGATACGCTTCCTCTTTTTTCTTTTTCCTCCATCACGCGTCGTTCTTCCACTGCCGCAGCCGATTGCGCCGTTTGTTTGTCAAAATTCGAGGCGGAGGATCAGCTTCGTTTACTTCCGCTCTGCTGCCATGCTTTTCACGCTCAATGCGTCGATACATGGCTTCAATCGAACCAGAGTTGTCCTCTATGCCGCTCCGCCATTTTCGCCTCCGAATCCGACGTGATTAAGGCTTCTATGGCTTCCTACACCGCTGAAGGTCGCGCCGGAGACAGTTTCAGACTCGAGATTGGCAGTATCAGCCGCCGGCAAGGCGCATCCGATTCCACCGACGGAAGGAGATCCTACTCAATAGGATCGTTCGAGTACTTCGTCGAAGAAGATTCAGAGGTAAATTTCACCAATGCTCACAGGAGGAGCGTCTCCGATAAGGAGGACATAGAAGCTCCGCCTCATCCAGAGCGAAGTCTCGCGGCTGAAGTCGGTTCCGGAAGGAGTTGGTTAAAGGACTACGTAGACAGGCTCTCGAATTCCGTTTCATCTCGAGCGCTCTCCTTCCGAGGCTCCGGTAGATTCTTCACCGGAAGCAGCCGTCGAAGTGAGATCGTGGTTGGCGGAGATTGGGAACAGGAGAACAGTCGCGTCGGCGAGGAAATAAGCGAAATGTTCCGGTGGTTCTCAGGGGTATAAACGTAATTACATCCAACAACCCTTCACGCAAAGGATAGGCCATTTTGGAAATGGTAACCGCCGGCCGGTACGTAATTTTTTTCCTTCTTAAACACGGACGGTGAAGATTCCTCTTCTTTTTGATCCTTTTGATTATGTCAACGGCCGAGATTCACGCTGGTAATTCCTGTGAATATATATATATATTCTTGGTTGGCATTAAATCAAAAGCTAAAAAAAGATTGCTGAGATTTTGTTTAATTATTATTTTCTTAATACCTCGTTTGGCAGAGAGATTAAAGTAAAAAAAAAGTTCCCCATCGTGGCAGTGAAGCTAAAAGGAACAGTGAAGTGATTTATGAAACTAGTTTACAGATCAATGAGCTTTCCATACCCTTTTTTTTTTTTTTTGAAATATTATGTGAATTTGAGAGTAAATCTTTGTGTTGATATGTAATGAGTGAATTGTGAGATGTGCAATATGAATATGATATTTGTGTGGAATTGTTTAGGAATCATTGCTTTGCTTGTTTGTGAAATTGTTAGCCAAAAAAGAAAAGAAAAGAAGGGAAAATAGGAAAAGTGAGTTGCTGAAAATAAAGAGGCCAAGATTATGGGTTCCCTTGAGCTTTCTTAGATTCTTGCTACTTCTATGAGGTAAACAAAATCTCTTTCTTTCTTTCTCCATTTTTTTTTTTTTTTTGAGGATATGGTCCAGATGTGATATGATGAACTATGGGTCTTATGTGTGAATACAACGGGATTTGTTCTCGTTTCTTAACAAATGAGAATATTCTCAAGAATCTTATGTTCTTCGGATCTCTAAAAGAATGCTTATTAATGAAAATTCTTGTGATGCCAAAGTAAAGAAAGACCATATCAATGACTTAATAATCGTAATTCCAATGTTAATTGACATTCAATGAATTTTTCTAGAAAATATGTGAAGATAAAACATGTTAAAAATATGAAATTAGAAGTCGAACTCTTATCTAAATCTTGAGTTTGAGTAGTTAATTACAAATAAATTTAATTTTGCCAATAAGAATAATTCAATAAAAGTAAAAAAAAAAAAAAAAAAAAAAGA